GTGTCCTGTCTCGTCTCAGCTCACACCCTCACCTACACATGCACGGAGCGGGATCACGCCAGCTGAGGTCAGGCCCAACCCCTGCCCCCTCAGTGAGCAAATTCCACCTGTGCCTCAGCTGTGTTTCTCACACAAACCCTCGCCTGCTCTGTCCAAGTCAGAGGCTTCTGCTTTCATGAGGACACATCAGTGCAAGGAACAAATTAATCACTTACTTTACTAAAGAATTCAATTCACTGTAATATTTGCACACATAGGAGTTTGGCAAACCACAGCCTGCAGGCCAAATCCAGCACACTGCCTGTGTCTGTCAATAAAGTTTTATTGAAACATAGCCACACCCATTCATTTATGTGTAATCTGTGGCTGCTTTTGCACTACAACGGCAGAGCTGGATATGAGCGGATGGTGACGGAGAACATCTGACCTGCGCAGGCCCAGATATTTACTATTTGGCACATTGTAGAAAAAGTCTGCCAACTCCTTGCGTATAACTTGACAACATCTGTTCACTGACTGCATGTCTAGAAATAGAAGATGACATTATCTATAGTCTACATGAAATGAATCCATTATCTTTAACATTTAATATTCAAATCTGATGGAGCACAAGCAGGATGTCTCCAAGATACAGAATTAACCTCGGTGTATGTATTTACTCATTTTTTCCCTGTAATTAATCTCTAAAAACATCTCCTCCTTTACCAGCAGAAACACTGAGAGGAGAAAGGAGCCCAGTGTTTAAGAGCATGTGTCTTAAACACCTATGTCTGGAGGAAAATAGATGTATTTGACCACTGAAATCAAGGCCTTGGGTTAAGTGAGGGTTCCTCTTGAAAAGCAGTTAACTATTCCGCTGACCAGCTGAGAACCTTATAACACGGTGCCGGACCGACACGCTCCAATTTGCTTTCTCTCGGGAGGTCCCGGGCAAAGAAACTCCGTGTTACGGAACATATTTCTAGATCAAAAATAGTCAAGAGAAAAGAGAGGATAAAACGAAACACATGTGGGCAGAGACAGAGAGGGAGACGACGGTGTTACCAGACACATGTATCGGCCAGATCTCTCTTTGTTGTGTCCTGTGTGGTGTGGGATGTTTCGCATCAGCCCTGGCCTCTAACGACTAGATATCAGTAGCATCCGCCTCAGTTGTAACAACCCAAAATGTCTCCGGACATTGTTCAATATCCCTGGGGTGGGCAGAATCGCGTCTAAGAATCACAGACCTAGCTAGACAGATATCTGGAGTAAAATAAAGAATTCCCGAAGAAAGAGCTGTTCATGTGCTCTTCTGCTATGGAAAGCAATACTACAGGGGCGCCTGGGCGGCTCAGTCGGTTGAGCGTCCGGCTTCGGCTCAGGTCATGAGTTCACAGTTCGTGGGTTCGAGCCCCGCGTCCGGCTCTGTGCGGACAGCTTGGAGCCTGGAGCCCGCTTCGGATTCTGTGTCTCCCCCTCTCTCCGCCCGACCCCCACTTGCGCTCTGTCTCTGTCTCTGTCAAACATAAATAAACATTAAAACGAAAGTTTTTTTTTTTAAATGAGCAGTCTGAAGAGCAGAGA